TGCGTTTTTTTAAATGGAATGTCCTGTATATTATTGCATTTTTGGATTCGCTGAACAAAATAAGTGTCTGTTTTAATAAGGTTTATAATACCTAATCTTAAGGTTTTTTAAATAATACGAATTTAATCAAAATCTAATCTAATCTAATTTAATAAAATTTTTAATTACCTATCGAATGGTATTAGGATGTCAATAGCTAAGTTTTTGCCTTTTTACAAAATACGTCAAATAGTCGGTCTGTGCACCATTTGGTTTTGTTTAATTTAAAGTTCCAATGTATCTAAGTTGCCTATGCCATTTACGCATGTGAAATCATTTATTTTATTTGTCAGTTTCAACTGCAAAGTCTCTTTTTGATAGCTAGAGTGGTATTGTTTTTTGCAATTGTAGACGTGTTGCTAAGTTAAAATGAAGAATTATCCAAGAGAAGAGCGTATTGACATGATTTTCACCCTTGGAGAATGTCATAAAAATAGTTTATTGGTTTCTCGAGTTTATGCTCAAAAGTTTCCTGAAAGAAATCATCCTAAGCCAACAGTTTTTAAGCGCTTAATACACCAATTTGAGGAAACTGGGAGAGTCAATTATAAAAAAACCATTACAAAGAATGTTTTCGCGGTAATTGGTTCAGTTATCAAAAATCCCAATGTTAGTCAAAATCTAATATCCAACAGTACTAACATTAGCCAAACAAGTATTTCCAGAATTATCAAAAAGCACAACTTTTATCCTTATAGAATTCAGCTTTGCCAAGAATTTTACGGAAATGATTTTGAAAACCGAACTGAGTTTTGCATGTGGGTGTTAGATAAAGTGACAGAAAATGAAAAGTTTTTCGAAAATGTGTTATTAAGTGTACTTTTCATAACAATGGTCTCGTGAATAGACACAACTTTCATTATTATTCTGATACGAATACGCGCGCATACAGTATTTCATTTAGAAAAACACAACTTTGATACTTTTAGGGCTTTTGGGACACTCTGTACATTACAAAAATATTTTTAAAATGTGCATCCGATAGGCGTCTGTGGATTCATAAAATAATACTTTGCAAAAAACAAACAGGCTAGCAGCAAACGTTCGTGCCGTATAGCGTGAATAACCCTGTATTTTGAAATACTTCTTTTGGTCGCCTGGTCGAATTTTTTCACGCATTGGCAACTTTATAGACAAAACAATATTTTTTAATCAAAAATGTTTTCAATCAATTCAGTTCAATTTTTGCGTGCCTCTATAAATATAGAGAATGTCCCGTTAAACATTCCTGTGCAACATTCCATTTAATTTCCATCAAAAGAGCGACCATACGATTTTAATAGAAAATAATAATAACCGCATCTGCAATTCGTAGAATTTCAAAATTGTACATAACTCTGGTACCCCATCAAAAACCGCAATAGTTTAGTAAAAATAATTAAAAAACCACAAACCAAACTCGTTTATATAAGTAACCCAAAGATCAGATTCATCCCGTAGATCACTTTTTGACCCTTCAACATTCAAGAGAAGAAAATCAGATTAGGAAACGTACATTACTTACATCCGTTATCATTTTGCCTCTTGTCTTGTTCCTCTCTCGATGATTCGCCTTCTTTTCCAATTGCTGCAAAACTCGTTCCCTGGTAGTGCGATACTCCAGTGCAAACTCACTAACAATTCGACAAAATTCGTTCGGCTTGGTGTCTGCCACTTGGTGGAAAGGAATTCCCAGCCACAACAGGAATTTGTGAAACCTGAACATGAAAAATTGTGTTTTGAAAAAAATTTCTTACGCAAAGCGTTTTTTTTTAAAGAATTACCTATTCATTATCCTTCGGTGGATGATGCCGACCAGAATAATTCGTTCCGCACAATCGGCTAAGAAGTCGGACATTTTCACTTTCATCATCGTGGAACCATCGTGCTTAGCGATCAGCTTCAAATGATCCCAAGAAGCTTTGCAATCAGCTTCCAATTTTTGGATGTTGAGCGTCAGTTCATCGAAATCTACCTTTGAAGCTCGGGTTATTGCACCAATCTGAAAACGGAAACAAATTTTGCACTTTAATCTATTCATTCCAACATTTAAAATTTCCAACGATTTTACGAAATATCATAGACTGAATTGCCATCTTCATTATGTTTCACTTTATTATCTTCCTACTAACTTTTTTATTTGATTTTTTTTCTCTGCTTAAAAAATACACACAAAGATCGCGACAAATCAAGCGTTACACTTATAAGAATGACGACCAAATATTCTGCTTACAATGTTTATTGTAAAAAAATATATCTATAAATGGTTGAGAAACTGCCTGCCCATGCCTCAAAAGAAGAGCGAAATCAGAACTCAAAAGAATGCAATTAAAAACCAAGTGGTGCAATAAAATTGAACTAATTTTGCTAAACTCTTATAAACAATTTAGTAGAAAGAAATAAACACTAACGATAGCAAAAAATTGCCCTCTGATTCACTTGGGTAAAAAACAAGGTGTCTCGAACCGTCGCATTTTTTCCGTTTTATTCACTCGAATTTCCTGGGTTTTGTTCACTCAACAGACGAATATAATGGCTTACCTCTGAATATAAATCTGAAGCTTCGGGAAATTTCTCCATGACAATGTGGCACAGGTGATGTAAAAGTGAATGCTTATGAACAGTGTCTTTCACTTCAGGTACTTTTGTGAGATAGTCGATTTGGAACCCTTTGACTTCGTTACCGTTCAGAAAGTTGCCGATTGAAAGCAAGGTACTAATGATTGCTAAAATATGAAAACAGAAATAATAACTTAAACTTAAAAGTAGTTTTTAAAGTAATAAAATTACAAAATACAAAATAAAAAAACAAAAAATGGTCTCTTTGGTGCCGTTATAGTGGGATTTGAGATATTTTTGCAGACCAAAGACATTAGAAAAAATTCCTGTTAGTTCAATTTGATTTTATTTAAGTTTTCCAGTACCTCTCCTCCTAACAGAAACTACATTCACATAGTGCAAAATCACCCGAAGCAGGTAAAATTAAGAGATAAGATTAGAACTTGTTCGGTTCTCTTTAGTTTTCGCACATTTAAAAAATGCCGAGATTATCCAAGTTTTTAAAAGGGCACATATTCTTACATATGACTAACTTCACCTACCTCTGAAAGTTTTATTAATCCTCAACACCTCAAAGCCTTGCTTGAGATCCATTAAAGGCTCGGCGATTTCCCGTTCGGAATTTTCAAAATCCAACTTGAACGCCCACAGCTTCAGCCTAGCAGGGAGCTCTGAGATCGAAGCTAAAGTTAGCAGGAACTGTTCCGCACTGCCCAGTGGTAAATCGGGATTTGCTGCAATATTGTCATGTTTCAATCCCGCTCTGTTTATTTTAAAGGTGGATTTTATTCACCTGCTTGAGCGTCCTGAATTTTCGTTCTTTCCTCTTCAGTTGGGAGCATGGTGAGTAATTTTTCGATTCCTTCCCTGTTCATTATGGTAGCGTCCATCTTCAGGATGGCCGTTTTGATTGAGCGGGGCGGAGGCAACTTGGTCATGCCGATGTTGATGGCGTTGGACCTTTTGGGGTCTAGGACGATGATTTCCTTGTTTTTGTTCAACTCCTGCTGTTTCTAAGAGTAAAAAGTTTACATTGAAACCGCTGCAGAAGCAGAGGTGGGTCTACGATACTAAACTAACGAATCTCATTTCAGTTTTCATTCTTCGGGGTTAAAAGTCGTATTAAAAACAGTATTAGAGAAGAAAATGACATGCGACTCTACATTCACAGTTCCATGCTAGATCTAAAATAGGCAACTACTACGGTACTTCTCTATATGTAGAATAGTAGGATCCACATATAACAAAAACATATAGGTATCTAAGAACGGGTGGTGGTGTTGGTGGTGGTAAGCGAAACGGTTATGTACGGTGATTAAAAGGGCAACAAAATACATCTAAATAGCTTGTATTTGAACAGACTGTGAAAGGGGTGGGTTCCACCACCGAAAAAACTGCAAAAACTCACCTCCTGCGGTCACCAAAAGTCAGGTGTTCCCCAGGACACCAGAGGAAAATAAAAGAAAAATAAAATTACCGTTCGAATTAAACTAGACACTTAATACTAATAGACCAGCACCAAGAGAAATTCATCATTTAGATTAGACTAAGTTGGGGTAAACAGGGCGATTTAACAGTTTTTATTTTTTTTGCAACATTTGTTAAAAAAGTATACTTCTTTTGTGGGTTTTTGCTTACTTTACGCCCCCGCACAGCAACATCAAAATCCGTAAAAAAGAGAAGGGTTGACTGAATTAATAAAGATAAGATAAACTATTGATAAAACCCTATCGCTCTGCTTAAAACAAGAGAAGGAAATAATCGAAATATTATCAAAATCTAAATGCAATTAATATCTCGTATTAGTAATCGAAATAACCATTCGAATTCTTTGAGAATTGAACACAAGCTTCGTTTATTTTTAAGTCCCGGTGTCACTAAACTCAAAAATGTACAGTTTTTCGTTTAGCTATCCGAGTATCTTTGATAGTTTTCGAAATTCCTTAGTTTTTCTTGGCGCTTTAAATATGTACAACAGTTACCTAACATACTGTACAAATGTAAAAATAAGGCTAAAAACCGAAAGCAATCCGCTCCCTTAAGATTTCCCAAAACGTTGCCGTCCATTTTGCAGCAAACAAATAAATACTTCGAAAAATTATTTTGATTTCCGTATTCGAGACTTATTCACAATTTGATGGCCTGCCGTTAAATAGAGCAATCGAAAGATTATTTTTTAATACCATATAAACTTTGAGTTAACTAAAATATTGCAGTAGTCAATAAAGCATAAAAGCCAGTGATCTTATACCACCAAAACTTTAGAAAGTTTTTCTTTGTTTGGAATATCTTTAGTGTGATTTGAGAGAACCAAGCTTTATGCAATTGCAGCATAATTTCAAATACAATTTTTATAATTTACAAAAGAACTCAACCCCAAAAGCCCCTCAGGAATAAGTTAAGCGTACATCAACTGATACCTTTTGATTTTCTCTCGTTTTCTTACTAGTCGATAATTTGCAAAACTGGTCGATTTTATACTGTCACATATACTGACCTTAGAAATTAAATCTTTGGCTCTGGACTCAAACAAGTGCTCCAACTTTTGAGTGTCTACAATGACTGGATTCAGTTCGTCCCAGATGTATCCGGATTTAAGTTTAGCCTGGCTTATTGGATCGTCTCGCACTTCTTTCCAAAACAGTTTTACTGTTTTCTTGTTTTTCTTAATCTGAAAACAATAATGTTATTTATAATTATATTGTAAGTTATTAGAGCGAATGGGGCGAGTGAATTGGCAGAAGTTGTCGGTTGTAGTTCAGAAACGATTGTTAATATATTCTTGGAAAAACTGTGCACAAAATCAAAAATAAGGGAACATTTCAGTTAATATTCAGCTCTATAAAGGTAGTTTGGTTTTTCGGACCTAAAATCACAGTTTTTTCGTTCTACGACCAGATCTTAAAGAACTGGAACTTTCACTTGCACAAAAAAATTAATGTGTCGCTTTTGAGCCGCCTCAATCGAAAGCTAAGCTGAAATACGCTGGTTTTTTAACTTCAAGAGGACTAGAATTATGTTCGTTAAAAAGACACCATCTTCCTTTTTCCCTTTCTATTCGACAATAACACTTTAATTTTTATCGTCTTCTAAAGTTTAGATTAATTTTGCGGTTCTTTAAATGTATTTATCTGCTCAAATGTATAGAGAACGGATACAAATGCGCAGAAAAAAACTGTTTTGGTCCTCTCTCGGTCGGTTTAAAACGTCCCAAAAAATACAGTAATAAAAGTACTTATTCATCATCTGTCTGTGATCACAAGCATTCAACAAAGAAAATCTTGAACATTTATTGTAAGTTGTAAGAACGCAACTATTTCCTTTATCCCGGGAAGTTTTGAGCAATTTTTATATTTGAACTACGGAAAATGCGATCCTTCAAATAACTGTCGGTGAGCTAATTAATAACTCTGTATAGCACAGGTCGATAATAACGACAAAAAACGTAAATATAAATCACTTACTGGTATTCTAGTTTCAGTCGAATTCTTATTGTTACTGTTCTTTGTGAGGGAAACTCCAAACAATGGAGCGTTTGGAACAGGTGGTGGGGCTGTTGGTATCCTGCTGGTAGGAGGCGGTGGAGGAGGAGCATTGCCCATGCTCTGTAGGGGCGGTGGTGGGGGCGGGATTCCGTTTATTGGTGCCACTGGTGTCAGAATATCAGCTTCATCGTCTGTCACTAATTGAAGAAGACACAAATGGTTTAAAAGTATTAAGCAAAAACATATTTTTGTGCTCCAATTCAGAATAAATAAAACTGTTAAAGCTTTTCAAAATATAGCTGAAAATTTGGAAGCCAATTTAAAAAAAAATACTTACTCAGGTCTGTAAAGTCCATATCGCACAGGTTCAACGGCCTGTTCAAATTAGCGACCAATTCCTCCCACCTAAGTTCGTTTTCGGATTTTTTCGCTTCAATTTTCGGCAAATTTTCATGCGTCGGACTCCTCAGAACATCAGCTTTTGATTTCGATTTCGCCAGCCCTTCTTTGGCTTTCGATATCAGTCCACACATATCGCCGAAACGATTCATTTTTTCCTCGGTTGGACTTTGCAAAATTGACTGGTTTGCTAGTTTCTGAGTTATATCTGAAATGTACGTAAAAGCTCATATGAAATTGGAATTTGGTTCTGTGTATTTGTGGTTTTATTAGCAAAACTTCAACTGTTTGACTTTAACGTACCTTTTACGGTATTTTCTTTTTTCAATTGCATTAGAATATTTCGTTCATTTTCGTTCGCGATGTCCGATTCCTCCAGGCCCTCATGGTTCTGAATCATCGACATGATCCAGGGCTGTTTCAGATTTTCCTCAGATTCCATTCGATTCACTGCGTTTAGATACGGAGTCATATCTTTCCTGCTCGGGGTTTTATTGAGGAGATTGTTCCCGTTTGATAGGCGCTGTTGAAGTGCGTTAGTAAAATGTCCTACAACAAAACATTGATTTTATTTTATGTTTTTTTACCTTCTCTTGCCCACTTTCCACGAGAGTGCTTACCATTATTGTTTTCGATATTATTAATGTCTTCGTTGTTATTTTGCTGAATCACTCCTTTAAGCAAAGCAGCAGTTTCTTGCTGTTCTCGCATAAAACTTCTTTGCCGTTCGGCCCTTTCTCTTCGACGTTTAAGAGCGGGCGTCACTCCGGCTTCGTTAGCTAAGCAAAACCACGCAAAGCATTAACAACATTAGCTAATGAGAAAAACAAATAAATAAAAAGCAAGTGAATAAAAGGACAATATGTGTTGCCTGGTTAATAACTTTCGAGTTTTCTTAGTGAGTTTACCAAATCGGAACGGGAAGTGAATTAGTTAGTTTGTAGGTGAAAATGACGCGAGCTCGAATGAACTCGAAGATACTTAACAAAATATTTTTTCGTAACAAACATTAATAAATAAAAAAATTAACAGGACAGAAAATTTAATAAATAAGAAGAAAGTTGAAAAAACTTGAGAGCATATTTTTTCAACCAAAGCAATATTCGGTGTTTTTTAAAGAATTCTATAACGTTTTTGCTCTATTCAGCCCAGCCACTAAAATATCTACAGTTTTTGCACACCAAAGTAGCACCAAAGTTCTCGATGATGTAACACTTTCAAAAGAGTGTCTGTACTTATATTATCTATTATTTTGAGGTGAAACCTTTGTCTAAAGAAAAACGTTCTTATTAGAAATTATGGGCTTTAAAGAAACTTAAATCTATTATTTAATTTAAAAGTAATAACATGAAATTATATTTCGTTAAAATCAGGCGAATTTAGAAATTTTGTGCAAGATTATGATAAATTTCACATTTTCACATGGGTGATTAGATAAAGATGTGAAAGGAAAAGACCAAAACATCCTTGAAATTAAGGGACAAAGCTAAAGAGAAAGAACAAAAACATACAGAAAGTTCCAATAATAAAATGATTTAAAGAAAAGCATAAGGCCTGAACGGAATCAACTGATACAATAATTTCTAGCAAATCAAATAATAACCTGATACAAAATTAATTAAAGCCGCCCTTAAAATACTCAGAATAGTACGGGAAACACCTTGCTTATTAAACAATCGACCCACTAAAATGTAAATTTTCGTTTGAACTTGAATTCGATCAACCGAACGTAATTACCGAATGCCATGAATGAACCGCAACTCCTTAAAAATTGGTTTGAAGCATTTAAATGAGTATTTTAAAATATGCATTATTCCAAGGCCCAAGGAAGTTGCTCACCGAGCCGAATCTTCGGTTCAAGAAGGGTCGCAACATCTCATTTTCGAACAATAGAATGAACTCAACTCGATCCGCTGACCTTAAGTGATACTTACTTTCAAAGAATCTCTAATACAAATTGCAACTTACAAAATTGCTTAAAGTGAATAAAATTTTAGTTGTGTAATGTATTTTTGAATATTGATAAAAACAAGTATATTTTAGTGTTCTTGTATCCATCATAGGGCCAATTTAATCAATACAATACTGTCGAAAATAAGGATAAAAAATAAAATTTAGTTTCAAAACGAATCTTCAAATGAGGGCTTGGCTTTTCAGACTTTTAAAGTCTTTAGGTGCAGATTTTGTCACGACCATCTTTACTTACGAATCAAGTTATATTTTAGAAACAAATTTGCCGATTAACAATGAAACGACGACAAACAACAACAAAATTTGTTGTTTTAAAATCAAAACATAACAAATAACAAAATAAAATGCTTGGATAGTTTGGTCAGAAATAAGCAAACACCAGTAAAATTAGCAGAAAGACGTTTTTTCATAACTAAATCTTACCTGTGTTGCTTTCCTTATAGCTTCCATTCAACTGCGCATTGTTCACCTCAGACGAGCTAGAAGACTCATCATATCCCTCTAAAACGCTTTGGTTCTTGTTCTTCTGAGTAAACCCGCCATATATGGGAGTGGTTCCTGTAGAGTGCCGTCGACTTTTTCGCCTTTCTGTAGTTTCAACTATGGATTTACGCGATCTGATCGTTTTCCTCAGATTTTCATCTAGAAAGAATAAAATTATATACGCAATTGTTCGGTGATATAACGGCTCAATAAAAAATATTAAAAAAGAGTTGAAATATTATGGAAGCAATATTTGTACTTAAATGTATTGTTCGTAACTACCTAAGTGTCTCAATGGTGCTCCCACACCCTTATCTTCCCCATCTTCGTACTGAAGAACCGCTTCGTAAATCTGGAACTGTTGCAAAAGATCCAGATCTGTTCCAGGTTTCGACATGTACCTTTGCACTATCGACTCGATTTCTTGTTCTTCCAGAGCGTCTACTTGGTCATAGTATACGTCTTGATCAGGTACTCCATTAAGAATCTGAGAAATGTCGTTTTACATACATCGTTTTTTTACATAAATCACAAGCAGCGTTATATATTAAGCCAGGAGCTGATCACAAAATTCATACCTTGTTGATTAAAGTTGTTGCATAAATGAGAAGTTCGGTATCAGCAGCATCGAAATCTTTCAACAGCTTCATGATGTTGTGATACGGTAGAAGGCCCTGAGAACAGTCCACACTTCGGATGGCTTTAACCAGTAGCATGCAATTTGAGTCCGTATATTCTACGAAGACCAGTAGCAACTTGAGAGCGGTTTTTACAACGAGACGAAACCTTGAGGAGATCAAACTGTAGAGCCATTGGATCGTTTGATTGTGCTCCATAACACCTAATAATTGAAAATTTTTGAGATTAGTTGAATATTGCTAAGCTATTTTATTAGCGTCTATGAAAAGCGTATTTATAATTAATAATGGAAGGAAAAATAGACTCAATTAAATTTCTTCGTAAAGACATAAGTACATATGTTTGCTTGGTATTTGCAAATCAATACAAATGGTAAAATATGAAGTTAAAAATAAAAAAAATTTGACTCAATTCTACCACCATTACGCATTGAACTTGTGAAAAAACTATCGTTTCTGTCTTAATATTTTACTGAGAATTTGAGGTGAATAATCAGGAGAAACACTTTATTCCAATTTCAATCAACTTATCGACCTGCATTTTACACTGAACCTCTGATCGATTCAATAGAAATTGTCTCTAAATTACATACATTATTCTTCATTCACGGATGCAGATCTATCAAAACAGTTAACCTTTCTCAGTCAGTGCGTAAATTTGGTGAGATTATCGGGCTTTTACACGGTCATAAAAAAAACTCACTCACCACTTTAATTGCAGATCTGATTTCAGATAATTATTAAAAATGTATAATATAAATTACAATATACTTTTTCTTTAAAATAATGTATTTTACCGTTCATTCCATCGACGTAGAGCATGACTTGGCCCAACGCCCTAAGAATGTAGTTCTGGTAGTTCTGGTCGGCCTCAGAACCCACTTTGATAAGGCAGGAAAGTCCATCGTTTTGGACGAACTCATGCACCAAGTCTTTGTCTTCCTGGAAAATCTGTTTTAAGGAAAAGAGGGCTCTTCGCAATTCTCGGCCCTCCGAAGTAAGCAGTTTTTCTGCAAAAAAGAACAATCATTGAAATCATCCAATAATTAACGTGACAATCTTGAGGAATGTAAACCAAATGAGTTTCTTGATCCAATTCCTCTAAAAAGATGAGCAACATTTGGAAAATACTTTTAAGTAGCTGGAGTTCTTCTGTGAGGGAACTTTTCTCGAGACAACTGCACTTCGTGTCTCGAATTTACGTAAGCTTGTCCATGAACAAAAAGCTGTTGAATTGAAAAAATTGGATGAAGAATTGATGAAATGACATTTTAAACTTCCCAAATTCGCTTACTTTATGACTATCTTGAAATAACTTGATTTATTACTATAAAGAACACAAAAAACTGCTGATTTCATTAAAAAACTTCCTAAAACCTCAACTCTCAGTACTTCTTCTTCCCACATTTTTTGATCGCAGAATGCTTATAATAGCTATTAATCTCAAGTTTTAAAATTTGTAAAGTTCATATGTAAAATTGTCAATATTTCATACACTGAAAGGCGGCCATTCCGAAACATTCTGCAACAAAATAACTTCGCATGGCAATAAATAACGAAAACTACCATTACTTTTCGGGCGTGGTGAACAAAAGTCTAAAGATCGCTGGAAATTATACCGGCAATTTGTGAAAACGTGAAAGAGCACCGCCTTACACCTGCTAAGATTACAAAATGTGATTTAAATTGTAACGATTGTTACCCGTAAATTGCGCTGCGAAATTAAACACAAATTGGTCCGATTTGCCTTGGAATTGAAATTGGATGTAAATCTAAACATGTCCAGGCATTTGGCCGAAGTTAGCGGAATAAATTAATTAGAGAATGTACAAGAAAAAAATTTCTTTGTATAAATTACTGAAGCTAATGCTATTTTGCCTGGCTCCAAAACGGTTTCTCTTTGTGATAAGTAAAGTGAATATGCTATTAACTTTAGTAAAAAATTGAGCGAAGAGAAGCGAATTCCAAAAAATACACACCTAAAGTGATCAGTACTGAGAAATCAGTTTAAGGTCTTTAAACAATGACTAAAGTTTTAATCGTAGATGGTGGTACCGGGCCTAATCCTAATCACAAAATGTATCTTAATTAACTTTGAAATTACTGCATGAAAACTCTTTGAGGTTTCAGATTTTAAAAAATTTCTACACTCTTACAGGTTTTCCTGTTATCTAATCATGTATTTACAGCAACAAGCACTCGTGCAGACTCGTAAAGAATCTGTTTTATTATAAGTAACTCTCACACTGTTAAGAGACAAGAATACGCAATGCCCGTCGTGAATTCACCAGTGAAACGCATTAGAAAATCCACATATTTACGATATTCAATTTCCTGCAGAAATGTGACAGTGAAATCTTCTTCTGCTTCTTCATATGCCTTCAAAAATTGAATGATATCATCAGTGGTATTAAATATTTGATCATTTCCTGGCGGATGTTTCTAAAGGCCCAGAATGTGGGAATTCGATTGACTATTCAACTCGCGTTTTCTTCGCGTGAGTCTCGTTAATAATACTCTTCTAATTCGTTTATTATGAATGAAATTCTCGTTTATACCATGTCAATGACAGTCCGGATTAAATCAGCTCTTTAACAGTCGAACAAAACAATAATTATTATGATTTCATTGCTCAATGATCGATTCGATGGGAAACGAAATTCCTTCGGCGTTTATTGGTCGTGAGCGCACTGTAAATGTCGCTTATTATCAGGTTAATGATTGTTGTAATTATTTATGTTTCTCTATATTGTTATATAACAGACTGTTAACGGTATTCGAACGAATTATGTGAGAAAAGTTTGGTGATTTATGAGTTTAGTAGATTTAGATGGAAGAGGTGCATGGCATTTTACTTTGCATCTTCTTCCACGTTTAAGATTGATTTTGAGAATCAATGTAGATATTTAATTAATTAAAATAAATCATAGGTATCCCATAAAGTACCCAATTTATTATTATCCATATCAAGTATCCCATAAAGTACCCAATTTATTATTATCCATATCAAGTATCCATATTAAGAATATATTTATGATTTAAACAATAGGCGTTATCATAACTAAAATTCATATCTATTCTTAACCATTTATCATTTCATGTCACTGTAATTCGTTTTTTGTTTCTTAACTCAAAAGATCCAATTTACCCATACGCTCATCTTTACATGATTTTGTTTTAAAAATTACTTATTTCCATTTTTATATATAATTCAATATGTTGGTCATTTTCATTTTTAGCCAGGAATAGTAATTGATCCGAGTTATTCCGTTTTTCCAATTTTTGGTACTTTACATAAACAGTCTTTAAATAGCTTGCCAAAAGTAAGCGAAATTAAAAGCAAAATTGCAATCTCAGCAATTTCACCACAAAAAACAATCTATAAAAGAAGATGAAAACTCTTTGAGGTTTCATATTTTAAAAAACTTCTACACTCTTACAGGTTTTCCTGTTCAGGAACCTAAACTGTTAACAAAAAAGTTATCAAATTGCAAATTGCTCAAGAAGCTTAAGTCAGCAAAACCCGACTTAAGCGACAATACAATACCATTGAGGACTTAACAATACGTGCAGAACCGAGGAAAAAACCACAAATTAAAGAAATGTAAAATAATAAAGCAAAGCTCCAAAATTAGATAAATAAAGATGAACTGGATGGTTTGCGTTCGGAATTCGGATGCAAAAAAATCAAGAACGAAGAATTACATCATGGGTTCTAATAAACAAAGAACCACACAAAATGAGACAAAATAATTATAAAGCAATTGGAGGTTTATTAGATGATAACTAAGCAGAAACATGAAGAAACCGAGTTAGCGACAAATTGACAATACCTCAGTCCAGTAACAAAAATCCTTATTAAGTCAATAGTAATCTATACGATTCAAAAAGTTTTACTGGTACATAGATAATGTGAAGTTGAAACAAATAAGTAATAGAAAAGACAAATATGAAAGTTATAGTTAAAAAATTGATATTGTATTCAATATAATGCAACGGCAACCAATATAAAGAGAGCGAAGTGTGTTGTCAGCGATAATAAGAATAACGTTCAAACAATAACATGACATAAAATTTCAAATAATCAATTAACAAAAAACGTCGAAAATACGAAAAGAAGTAAGTGCATGTATACTATATTTGAAAAATTAGTTAAAATAATACAAAACAAAAAGAGAAACTGAAGCATATTGTTAAGTATATTTTTTTTCAAAATGTAGTAAGTCTGAAAGATAACACTAGATAATAAAAGACTATATAAAAAAGTTAAAAACTCAGCAAAGGGGTCAACATAAAAAGATTTCTTCAATTTTGTTTGAATCCAGGGTAGAGGCTTGGTAACATATTGGGAGAGTCGCTTGGAGTCCACTATAAATGTATTTAACATACACGACGCGTTTCGGTTATTTATGTTAAAAAAACAGAAATAAACAAAATTAAGAACAGTTTTTAATTGTTCAGTGATAGTCTGCAGTTGAGCGTAATCCACGTGTGTTTTAACTCTTGTAATGTGACCGATGTTCGGCTTTTTTCCAAACCCGTCGTGTATGTTAAATAAATTTATAGTGGACTGAAAGCGACTCTTCATTCATTCGCCCAATAAAAAGATTACTGACTGAAACGCTCAAAAGAAGAACGATGAGCACCATAAAAAGCACTATGAATGCAAAATGTTACACTTAAAAAATAAGATACATTTTATGTATGCAATTTAAAAGTGCATAACAATAAAATATAATGAGAAAAAACTTGTCAATCTACGCTTCTTTCTTTCCACTCCGCTTCTCAACTCAATCCAATTAAATAATTCATACAGCACATATTTCCACAAATAAGGACCATTAATCAATCAAACTAATAACGTGCTTTATTGTCCCAGATATAAGTAGTAGTCATGATGATGAAGCTGTAGGAGACAAACAGAATGTGGCATGAAATCAAATGCACCTTGGCAAGCAGATAAACAGTTTAGCCGTTTAATAATGGCCGTGGTCTGCACAACGACGCTAATCTGGTTAGGGCTTCGAATGTGAAAGTCCAATAAGCTTTTAGTAACGTGCATAATTGCCAAGCAAAGTCGGTAATTACCGAGAGGTGTAATTTACGGGCTGCAAAACGACGACTCGGGTGGAATCTAATCACGCAAATCAGGAGCAGAGAAGAAGAAGAAACAAAAAATAAGGCAAAAATGAAAAACTAAAACTACTTGTCATTGCTCCTGATTAATGGCTCAGCACTGCTAAGACATCTCGGCATCGATGGGTCGAGCACAATACCAAACTGGTAGTGCAAGAAAACTGGACACCATACGGCGACGTCTAAAAGGCGCTAATTGAAGCTTTTACTAATGGTTAACTACAGCGCAGAAGAACGAGAACATTTTCAAATATTACTGAAACTAGTTAGAGTAGGCATTTCCATAAATAGGCTCAGTTGAGATGTCCAGATACTAGAACGATGATTTATTACATTACAGACATGCAGCACCAATTCAAAGTTACGCTTGATGTCTTTACATAACACTCTGTATGATCTTTAAATCAGGTACATCATGCTGCAAGGTGTATTGTGTGAAAGTGGTGGTGAGAATCGTTTATCTTTAAGCAGTTTAACTACTGAGCAGTTGACTTCGTCAATGCTATACGCATTAAAGTAGGTATATACTGCACTAAAACTTGGTGCAAAAGAAAACACCCTGTATATCAGTGTCGTGATTTCGGATTCAAGATAGGACAATTTTTCAGTGCTCCGGTGCCGTTCGTTTTGTAACCTGCAATTTTCTCCAATAACAAGCCCGTTCTGTTCAAAGATTCCGAATCAATATTTGTTGTTACAGAGTAGTTAGGAAAAAAGTAAACATCTGCGGGCCAAATAGCGTAATGATATGCACATCGACTAGCTGTTTTATCCTAACAAGGTTTAACGCTACGAAATATTTCCTGCTTAATTTCACCAATCTTATTACACGATGATTCTGAACGTGAAACTTGTCTTGCTTACCGATTTGAGTTCATATGTCTAGCAACTGAAAATACTTATATAAAGGGCATGAATCGTCCGTGAGACTTATATGGTCTATTTTGAATAAAATTCATATATTTAACATCAATCAAAAATTGCATACATAGCATGTATATTTCGGTTTGGCAAGTTCAGTTCAGTTCAGTTGAGTAAAACATATATTGTTGATTTAAGGAGATTTTATAATTAAGAATCGCTTTTTGTAAACTCCATCCTGGCCACACTGTATCTTTATGAATGTTGCTAAATTAAAAGCGCATACTAAAAGACTGAAAAAATATATAGGGTGACTCAGAATTGGAGCTGTTCCTCTATGAATGCTGTCTATGGTATGGGAAAGTTATAGCAAAAAAGAGAATTCGCTCAAAAAACTGAGATTTCACTAAAAATCAGTTGAAAAAATTCAATATTTCAAATTTTACCAGTTTCATCACAGACTTGATCAAGTAAACTTGATAACCTCACTTCACTACATCAGTTTTCATTGCTATCAAGAATTTTTGGAAAAAAGATGAAAACCAGCAAGGCTAAACAAAGAGGTCTTCAAAGTATATATACTTTGAAGTATAGAACAGCTTATACGAGAGTAGAGTAAACAAAATATTAGAACGCACATAAACAAAGGAAAATATGAACGCGGAATAGCAAAGTATAAACTGCAGCTAGCCATGAAATTTACAAACAAACCAGAAATGTCGCGAAGGAACTGATTAGAAAGACCAATGAAAAGTCTTGAGGCAGATTTTTTATTTAACATTGAACATGCCATACATAGTAGACAAAACCTGGCCCATAAAGTAATGAAATAATTAAACAATCAGTAAAATAATAGAATACAGATAAACAACAGATGATAGACGATAAAAGTGGGTAAATCATTACAAACAGCTGTGCTCCAATGAAAATGCAGATAAAACGATACAAGAAGAAGACGTAAGGTTTGGACGATACAGAATTAACAGGACTGCCAGAAGCCTTTGAACCTACAAAAAACAGAAAAGCGACTGGTATGGATGGTATCGATACTGAACTCTTGAATTACGGTGGACTTACATCAAATCTTACTTTTATTTAATAAATGCTGGAAAATTTGCACTATCTCTGATGAAAATAATAACAGAAGAACTTATAGAAGGGAACAAATGGGTTTTAGATAATGTAAATCGACAATACTACAAATCATAGAAAAACACCGAGAATGCAACAGAGAAACACATATAAGCTTTATGGATGTTGTGAAAGCTCTTGATAATGTAAACAGATGCAAATTATGGAGTATTATGAAAGAACGGGGAAACCCAAAACACTTAATAAGAGCAATACAAAATCTATATATTGACACCAAAACTGCAACAGAGATGGGAGGAAAGTTAACTAGAGAAATATCAATAAGCAAGGGCGTTAGGCAAGGCTGCTGTATACACCAAAACACCACCTTAAACTCCGTTCTTTATGCCGATGAGTTAGTTAATACTTAGGAGTTAAGTTAAGTTAATACTTAGGAGACAAACTGAATAAATTCACACATATTTGCGGAACTATCAGAGCATTAAAAAATAAAACAAGAAAAGATAAACAAATAAAATTTTACAAGACGATACCAACCTGTACCAACCCTCTTATACGGTAGTGAAACGTGGACAACAACGAAAAGAGAGAAAAGTAGAACACAAGAAATTAAATTTCTAAGACGAGTAAAAGATTGCACAAAACTGGACAGTCTAAGGAACAGAGATATAAGAACGGAATTAAATCTCATTAAAATGCACGAGATAATAAAGAAAAATAAAGGCAGGTCGAAAGAACACGTAGATCGGATGCACGAGAGGAGGATCCAGCTAAAGTCAGATTTTATCAATGCCCTGGAAGAAGAGATATCGGAAAAGTGCCTTTAGGGCCAGGTTCACCTGAAGTGAAGAATAATATGAATAATTTTTGGCTTTCGCGTTGTAGCTAGCGAACGTTTCCTGGCCAAGAAAGTTGATAGAAAAGTAGGTTTAACCTTCAAACTGTTACTTGATAAAGAGTTGCTTCAAAAGTTTGAGAAATATTTCGATGATTTTTTATGCTTAGAAACTAAAATTAGAAAAATTCAAAACGTTCTTTCTAATCGCTACTTGTCATTACTGCCTTCAATATGATTTCACCAGTACTGTTTAGATTCGGCCAGATTTGGCCGATTTAGAGCCTTCACAGGGAAGGGAAACTTTATTCATGTTCGACATTGTTATACATTTTAAAGTTTGAATAGTGACCCAATCCGGGGACCGGACCCAATAGACGGGAAGTACCGGCGGGCACTTCCCGTCTATCTTCCAGGATTGAGCAAGTGGTAAATAGAAGAGTGTTGACGTTCACAAGAAAGTTAAATTGAATAAAAATAAATTCATCATGTGAAACTTATTCTCCATTGCCACTTTCTACTCTATGAGACTGTTGACCACGTTTCGAGTGAAACCAACTTAAACCATAGCAGAAGCAGAAACCATAAACCCGTTACAGGTTTATTGATAGCAAATTAGCAAAAAACAAAAACCCGAACAAAATTTGAATATAATAATAGCAAAACATGTCGTCGAGGGATAAACCAGAATTGGTTTTTAAACATCTTTTCTGTAAACGCGAGTTGACCTGAGCAATTGTAGCATTTCAGAAAACTGAAAACTAAATGTACCTAACTTCATCTAACAAGTAATATGAAATCAAATCTCGAAATTAAGGATGCGAAACAAGTATTAAAAACATATGAAATAAGTCATATTAACAGTACAATAACTAAATATTTAGAAAGGACAAATAATATACCATAATATTAAAGTGAGCAGTTAACAGAAGGTAGTTTTCTTCCTAATTAAGAAAACTAAACATGAATGTACGGAAATAGTGTACCTTGTAAAAATGCTGATTATTATTATTGTTATTATCATTTAGTGCAAACACGGTCACCATGCACTGATGTTATCACGTGTCTCTACACTACAACAGTGAAAGGTACTCGGTTGTAAAAAACTATATGCAAATTATTAACAGTTTAATTGCGAACTTTCCTCGTCTACTAAGAGGTTCAACATTTCAATGCACTTATTGCAGTACTTACCTATTATCGTATGGACCCGAACTGATAACTGGGTGCGAAGTACTATGGAATTTTTTTTGCTGAAATAGAGAGAAAACGACGAATTAAAAATGAGGCACTAACAACATTAACAATGGTGCGAGTCTAACTTCCAACTGACATTCAATTATTTTTCTTTGGTCATTAGCTAAGTTAATTGTTAAATATGACGATTGACGAGGTATTTTTTTCATTATTCTTAGAAGCGCAATTTAGTATCGTCAATTACAACCTACAAAGATGTGTGTACGTAAAATGTAAGGATTACGTCTAGCGTCTTCGAGTAAACGAGTTATCTTTGTCTAAAGTGTATCTAATATTTAAAGATAATTAGAAAATTTCCCAATAAGAGGCGAAAGAAAAGTTTCATCGATAAAGGAATAAGGCCTCGAAAATAATCAGGTGTCAGACGTCCAGCTTCTAAAAAGGCAGCTCAATAAAAATGTGCTTGATCTTGTTAGCTGTTCGTCATTCGACATGGGAACGTTTTTACCATTCTTTTCGTTTGCATATATTGCTTCAAACATGATGCCACAGTTTTGGCTCTGGTATAGACTGCACTTGCGCGCTTATTTCTACACATTTGTAGTAAGAAAATCCCACATTCTTGAAGTGAAACAATCAGAAAAATACTTACAGGTTCCACATAAAAAAAACTATTGAGATAATTAACTCATTTCTATATCAGTGGATAGGCAATAAAATGCCAGATTTAACAAGTGTAATTGTAAAAAATAATTTGGAAAATATTCGCAATTGCCACACAAAAATTGGGCTATTGCCTCAAAGATGGTTTTTTGATAAGTATCTTCAATCCACTTCGTTTGGATTTAATTATAATAAGCTAAACTTGTCCGAAGAAATGTTTTTCTCGCATTAAAAATTTGCTAAATACTAGCAAAGAAATGTTCCAATTCCTTCCACTATAAATTTCAATTAATTACTGGATTAATTACCAGTCTTTTGTTAGAAATTTTCCAAGGCAAGATTCTCACATCACTCAATGCAGAAGCAAATGCTGGTACAGTTAGAAATTCAGCCATACAATTCCGCTCTCATACAAACACGTTATAAAGCCGAAAACATTAATTTGTAGTGAACTGTTACTTAAATACCATTTGCTTAAACTTCCAAGATTTCAAATGTAACCTTTTTATTCCACCCTAGTTTTAAATTTTAATTTCATGACATCATTGCCTAATAATATCACTAAAAATACACTAATAAAATATCACTATCCGAATGAGTTTTGTTCCGAATTCTGAACTAACGGAAATACGAAAACGTGCAAACCGATACTTAGTATCATTCGGTATCGTCGCATTGTTTCCAGTTACGAAATTGAAAACTACACCGTGTTTAGTTCTGAAATAAATCCCTCAAACAATGGCTTCTCATACACGGCATACAAATGACAAGTACTTTCTTCAGAGGAAACGCAAACAAAGAAATTTGTATGCACCGACAACTGCATACGACGAAAAGCCATTTCGATTGCCTAATATAGATTTAATGTTATTAAAAATGTAATATCTGCTTAATATGCGCGAAGCGTTAGGAAATATTCGACATGCAATGGCTCCTCTTCACAATAGCCGTAATTGAATTGAAAAGTTTAACGAAATCGGAATTGATAGCGTTCAGTTTATACGGTGATTTATATTCACTTGTCTATCGACTTCTGCATTTTAAAATTGTCACTTTTCTCGAAAACTGTGCAATAAATATATCAATTTGGTAGTAGTTAACGATGTGAGAATTTCAATTGATTCCTCCAAGGAATAGATAAATATCATGAACCATCAAAACAACTATTAAATGATTCAGAATCCCGAATTAACTTTCACTCATAACAGTATTTGGATTATATGTATATTACAATTAATATAGTATGTAAGACTGTAAAAAAGCCACATTTCTCAAATTCTGTTAAATTTAATATAGAAATCTTTGCTTAATTCAACCGCAAGCTTTACTTTTAATAATCTGTCGCCTCGTATGAAAATATCACTCTCTCCTTATTACCACAAAACGATGATACTTCAGCTCTAATGAGCATCATTTCCTACTTAATGTGAAGAGAAAACAAGTGAAAAAAACGACGGCAAAACCTCAACCAATTGAACTTCGTCACCGTGGGACGAATATATTAATAAGTTATTTCATTTTTCATACAAATAAAACCTTTTTAGAAGGAGAACCATATGGCTGCCATTATGGCATAATGCATTAAACAAAGCCACATGAGTGGCTACCGATTACACACAATAGAAGCTTTTTTCGAAACGAAATAATTGCCACTTTACATTACAGTTGAAAGTTTGTTGTCGATTAGTTAAATGCTTCGAGATGCTTCAAGGAAATTGAGAGAAACACATCCTGCATCTTGACAAAATGCATACATTATTACATAAGCAGTTAACATTCCACAAAATATACTAACTGAAGGATCGCTAATTTTGCACTCGACACACCCAGACATATTAAAAAAGCAAGATAGCTAAATTGAATGGAAAATTCAAGCAGACAAACACAGACATAGTTAAAGTACAAAAGTAATACAGTAGAAGCAAAACAAGCTTGTTGTTTAATTATTTTCTCCCACTAATTAATTATCATGGCTAATTACAAACGAATGCTACATACTGCTTTTTGTTCCAAATTGATTATTTCTGTGAATGTTAAATCATATATCTTTATTGTCGCTTACTTTCCATCGAAATAAATACATGCTAATTTAGCAAGTTATCAAATTTAATTATCAATTTGCTCATAGCAAACACTTTTATAACCTGCCAAACAGTTGGCTCCAGTTATAATTCAATTTTTCAATTCTCTTGCAACCAACCGTTACGGTACATGAAACAAATATGTGAACTAATATCATTAAACAAAATTAACAAAACTTCTTTTTGAAAACCGATTTCTCAGATAACTTCATTGCTTTTTAATATTACTTGATAATGCAACTATACGTCGACTTTCACTATTCAAGCAAGTGTTACTTAAAAAGTCAATCGCCCTWTTCATATTTTTTTGTTTAGTAATTTCAAGAAAATTGTTCCTTCTAAATTCCAAAACATGGTTAAGTTCATGGCTACAATCACTCCCTATGAATGTCATGCAATAGGATACAAAGTTGATAAGTACACACCCACAGCATTGTAAATCTGATATAAACTGACAACGCGACAATTGTTATCGAATGGTATTTTTATTCAAATTATAGCCACTAGATCCTTAATATAAAAAAGGAAAAACTACATTTCTGTAGCGTTTCCTTTAATAAATGCAAAGTATTTTAAATACAAAATTGCTTATTTATAGCTTGATTTAGCTCGAGGGTAATGGCATAAGTTTAACTGCTTATTGTGTTGAGATCAAGCCAAGAATTAGGCAGTTTCAGCTGAACTAATATAAAACAATACAAATTTTACCATACATTCGTGCTGAAAACGCCCAACTCCTTGTATGACATGCAAAACCTACTTAAAACCATTGTTTTACCCGATTTTAGAAAATATTCTCACGACCCGCAAGTCGCAGCATTTAACATTATCCTAAATAAGGTTTACAAACATTTAGAGTTTTTTCAGAAAAAAAAACGTTATTGTTTATGTGAGATACTTTAATAAGCGTGTTTTTTTCTATACTGTTCGTGAATTTCGTATCTTGTCCTCGTTTCTCGATTTCACGGCCTCGGTCAAGGATGTTAAAAATGCGATGGTTTTTAATAGGTATGTGTAGAATGGGGCGAAATGGAATGTTTACATATCGTAAAATTCAGTTTTGAGAATAGAAATGGCAAATAGACCGTAAAGTTTCTAGTTAAATTAGCATTTAAATTCATTATATTTTATGAACTACATATTTGGTATGCTTCCAAATTTAGATAACACTACTTAACACTCAGTTAATAATTTTTTAAATAGCAACTTTCAAAGGTAAAGTTTTAAAGAAAATGCGCGTATGCACAATACAAAAATTGTCAAGTTCTTATTTGAGTGCAATATGTACTTCCAAGAAAGTCTGTTAATTTCAAACAAATAAAAAAAACAGAGAAACCAAAATAATGAAATATAGAATTAAACTTGCTTGCTTGAAGTGTGACTTTGGAAGGTGTTTGTGTGTTTCCTGTAGATTTTCTTYTAAACAGCAAATAAAAATATGACCACTAAATTGCCAATAAATGTTTCTCTGAGTTTCGTATGTTTTTTACCAATTTCCTAGATATTTTTCTGACAWTTTCCTCTGCTTATTTTGAAGCATTTTTTCATACTTTTTCTGATACAAGTTACAGTCTAAAATACAGTGGGAGTTGAACACCAAGATCAAATTGTTGTTTCAGTTTCGTGAAAGTTATTAGTAAATGCATTACAAGTGTAGGGAAGCAAATATAAATTATTCCCATGAGAAAATACTTGGTTTGGTTGTAAAATGGCTCAAAGACAACATGTAAATTGTCCAGCTCCTTTTAAGACGAACAAACTTGTAAACAATATATCATGTTTGCGAAAATAATAAGATAATTTTATATAAGCGTATATACTTATCAGCTTGGCTTCTAATATAAGCAGTGCTAATATTTGTAATGTTAGTTAAGATGAGTCTGTTTTTTAATTAGATTCTAATATTCCAAATCGCGCATTATAACCTAAATATATTTTTGAAAGCCTAGCCTCCTCAACCTTTGGTAAGACTTGAATATTTAGTAATCTATTTTCGAACGCAATTTTGTCAAAGAATTATTAGGCCGATATCTTTAGTCGACCTTTTACGATACGCCGGACTCCCGACGTTCGCTGGAAGCAATTTTGGTTGCACATACAACATTTTAATGTTGTTGGGCGATGCGGTGGGAACTTGTTGGAGATGGATAGGAAACTTCTCTTGTTTTTTTATACTATCTTTATTTTAAATATACATATAGATAATGATCTCGCAGTGTTAATCGGGATAATTCAGAGTTGGAATTAGATTTGAACATACCACAAAGGTACGTAAAGTACGTAACATCAACAAGCGTGATATGCGATTCAAA